AATTGAAGCTCTGAGACCCGAGCGAAAGAGAAATCGAAGTTCATCCAACACGGAACGCCTTCTCGCGAAAATCGGCCTTGCTGTAGGCGGTGCGAGGTTTTGCACTACTTAACCCTTCCGCCTCCTTACTAGTAGAGATCCGATTAATGTTTTGATCCTATAAGCAGAGGGATGACGTTTCAAGGGCTTTTCATCTACGCCATGAATTTTTCGTTCCTACTAAGCAGCTTTTTCAGAATCAACAGCTCTGTATTAGCTGTGGGTTTGTGGTGCTCGTTGTTGATTACTCTCACGTTTGTAGTAATCTTCTTGTTTTTGAACACGTGGATTTGTTTACGCTCAAATGTCGTTTCCAGGAATGCATGAGCAGGACCACGGAATCGTCTCTAATTATTTTTATGAACCTGAAAATGGAAAATTGTGCGTTTTCATTCATATTCATCCAATGTTAGATAGTGTTTAAGTCATGTTTCTCTTTTAGTTTTGATTACTTCAACCTCACACAAAAGGAGGGTGTGGTTAATAAATCATTAGACACGTCATGGTACAAAGGAGATCCCATTTGGCTGGCCAACGAAAGGTTAGACTTCCTTTTTTGATCATTGGGAATTCTATCATAATCTTTTCAAGTGGAAACATAACTTTGCCTTCCTCCAGGCTTCCACTTCGTTAGCGGGATGCCTTTGTAATAACAAACGGTAAAGTCCCAAAGGTAATACGGCCTTATTTTGTTAAGATTCGAGGCTTCCCGTCGATCGGTTTCATTTTACTGGCCAAGTGGAGAGGCGTCGTACTCGAAACCGCCTCACAAACCATCGCTATATAGGTATCTTCCTTTTTTATTCTTCCATAAAGTTTTTTTTTCATCGAGTTGACTTTTTTGTTCACACAATCGGCCTTATTCGTGACGAAATCTCAGTTGCTTTGAACTTGTTGGTTTGAAGGGAATGGAGAGGATATCGCAATCTCAGCGCGTGGATGACCGATGTTGATGATATCGTCAAACTGTTCACCGATGAGAAAGACCCCATCAACTTTCTTGCATGGTATGTCTTGCTATGTGACTTCGATTCACTGTCTCAGTTTTCATTTTGAAGGTACATTGCTGAGCCCGATCACACTCTCCACAAGAATGGTTTCTACAATGGCGAATTGAGGAAGATCATTCATCAACTCGATGAGTTGTTTGGCTATCTTGTGGCGAGACTACAAGATACTGGGTTAGAAAATACTGTGAATGTGATATTAACAGCTGACCATGGCCATGCTGAGGTGATCAGTTGGTGCTCTTGGAATTTTCTTTGTGCATCATCACTTCAATAATACTTTTTTTCAGATCCAGGGTGCCAAGAACGTCATGTGCTTACGAGAGTATATAGTAGACGAAGGGTATCAACTTGGAGATCACATGATGTATCCTGACAGTGAGGAGCTAGCCCTTGAACTTTACCGTAATCTTTCCACTGCGGCGAAAACACAGGGTTTCAAGGTGAACGTCTTCTTAAAAGAGGTGAGCGTGTTAATTTTCGAATTTCATCACTTTTTGGAATTTTTCAGTAGCTACGTTTGAGACAGTCTTTTTTTTTATTAGGCCATATGTTTTTTTTAAATTTGTTCATTTGCCCTTCGTCCTTATTTACGGGTAACCAATTAAATCATGGGTCATCGCATCCTCGGTAGACTGCACGCCTTTTCCTTTACCTTTCCAGACCTACCTAGGAATTAAGCAAGTTTTGCGGCCTATAGGGTATCCTTTCCTTCATACTACCTTCATTTTATGAGTGCCCAAAAATGTGTTGCAGAGGGTACCGATAAGGGGCATATTTCACTTGTTAATTGGATTCTATTAGAATGCGGATGGAAAGATTCCATATTTCTCTATACTTTCTTTAGTGCGCATGCATAGTCAGTCGTCCGATCGTAACGATCGCACAGCGTTACATACGCATCGATCTTCCTATGCGTGGACACGTCTAACGATTGATACGCATTCAATGTTGTGCGACTGGACGACCGACTATGAATGCGCCCTTACAACCGTCTTGCATCATCTCTAATTGTGCCATGTTCATTCTGTTTGGTTGAAAAACAAAGCTGTCAAAATAAGTCTGCCTACCTGTCACAGAATTCCGGAAGCCATTCTCCATCATGGTTGCGCTATCGCTGAAATGTGAACATTAATAGAAGAACCAGTCCTTTTTGAAGCCACGGTTCCCTGAGTTAGAAAATGCGGCACCCAAGCACTTTGTGCGTGGCAAGGGCGCTAATGATGTGCCTTGCTCGTTGCCAAGCTATCGTCACCCTTATCAATCGTAGCGTTTGCACCATCTCGCGTACTGCGTGCTCTCGTGCGTTTTCTCTCTTCCCTCCCTTCACAGCACCGTGTCTCTCCGTTTTACCACGGCCGACTCGCGAGGGAAATTTCAGTGTTTCTATTGCGCTTTTTGCTTTTTCTTCATTCTAGTCTTCCTCATACTTCGCACTTCTTGTCCATTTTCTAACAAAGTAACCCACCACTCGATTCCGGCTCGTGCGTGAACGCTTGCTCTATTCAAAAGAAAAAAGTATCCCACGTGTTTCTGTCATCCTTGGAATGTTTCCTTGTGTCGGACTTACTCTTGCATTTGTTAAGACTATCTAGACCGACCCATACTGTCCCATTCTTTCATCCCCAGCTTAGCCCCATCGCGATGAGGGGAATGAATAGCTTTTGCAAGTACGATGAAAGCAAATCTTTCAACAATGTGCCAACAATGAAAAGCAAATGTTTGAAAGTTCATGCGTTGTGTGCGACATAGTTTTCTCCTATGTGTAAGTTATTCATCGATTCAGGATGTTCCTAAAAGATTTTTCTACACAAATTCATCACGAATTGGCCGGATAGTAATAGAACCGGAAGTTGGGTGGGCAGCATCTTTTTCGAAATCATGTACACGAGAGAAACTCCTAGAGTAGGTTATGGTTTCATGTTTTTGGCAACGGTGTATGAGTTTGAGAAAGTTGGCTTTACAGAACATATGCACCTGGTAATATAAAATTCAATTCTTCATCGCATGGCATGGATCCCGATCGTTGGGAAATGCGCGCGATGTTGACAATCGGTGGGCCGTCGGTTGTACCGGGCAAAAAGGTCGGTTCATTGGTTCAGTGGTTTTAAGCTCCGTTAGGTTCGGATGTTTTCAGATAACAGACATTCCTGAAAATATAGAGCTGCATTCCCTGATGTCTTATTTGTTGGCCATTGAAGAACTGAATATACCAACAATGAGTGTGGTCTCTCAAGCTCTCAAAGCCGCTGATTTGCCTCAAATTAGCACCGCCTCCTTCTCTGTGAGCATTTCTTATCATTCGACAAGTTCCTCACTGAAATGAACTTAAATTTTTGCAGGAATCGATTGCGTTCACTTTCCTAATCATTCCCTCTGCATGCATCGTAGTGCTGTTTCTGGTCTATATCTGCAGACATACTGTTCTAAGCGATAATCCGAGTTGGATGTGGAGGCAAGGCGGATACCGTCCGCTGCATATGGATATTTTCGACGCGGAAAGGGTGAGATAGTTTTCTTCATATTATTACTTTTCAAATTGGGTAGTATTAAAGTACGCAATTTTTGCATGGTTGAATCATTTAATATCAGGGTCTCTTACCGAATATACTGAAGGCGAATGAAGTACCACCCTCTTATTTCTCTAGTGGTAAGGCCCACAAAGAAAAGTTAGAACGCTCACTTGCGATAATACCTTTTGGGCCCACCATATGGTCGATTCTCACACAGGATCATAAAAACAAGGTCAATAAATACCTGCATCAATTCAGCAATTTTTGCGGATTACACGTTCACTAGCCGAATCCAGCATCAACTTTTGCCCTGGTGGTATGAGAACCATAAATTATCTGAACCAGCCTCGACTGCAAGGGTTGTTTGAAAGATAGTCAGTCATCTAGATTTCTTGCCATTCACACCGGTCCGTGATGTTGTGGTGTTGCAGTAGTTAAGAATATAGCTTTTCTTGAAATATTACCGCATGTTGGTTATTCCTCCTCTTGAATGTATCGCACGTTAAAACTATTCAAGGGACGGCCGAACAAGCGCTCTGATCGTTCCGGCGACCAAGACAAAAAGGCACTCAATAGGGAAGAGTCCAGCGAAGACGAGTTTTGAGGCCTTTTTTCCTATCCAGTATGGGTTTCTTTATTGGTTTTATCAAACACCGGTTCGTGTCATCGATTCATGTAGCTTAGACTTTGTAAACTATGTGTAAATAGTGATGTAATTTAGTTTGTTGGGTTTTAAAACGAATTAAGCTTACAGAGAGTTGTGATAGCACGTTTATGTGTTTATTAGTCTTCTATGATTCTGATCATGATTCATGTTTCTGAAACCAATCAAACAAAACTGCTATTATATTTACCGATCGTCATAGCCTTTGTATAGGTGTTTATGTCCTTCTTTCCTTGATCCTTCCTGCAATTGTGATGTGCTAATCAATAAGGCAGGTATATTTACCCATGTGGGTAAATTTTTAATAAATTTCTTATCAGTTTGTGTTGTTTTCGAAGTTTCCCAATGGCTTTCTATAGCTAATTATTTGCGGTAGCACAGAAAGTCTGAGGTAATCTGTCGAGTTCATTCGGAATTATTTTTGATGTCGTTGTTACCGAAATCAACGGCAGAGTTTACCGATCCGAAATACTGGAAGAACTTCTTCGCAACTCGAAAGACACCTTTTGAATGGTAGGTATCTCTGAATCGGTTCACTGACATGTTCATGATGATTTTTTTCACTATCAGGTACGGTGACTATGGTGTGTTGGGCTCAGTTCTGGAGAAATATCTCAAGTCTTCCGACAACATCCTCCAGATCGGCTGTGGTAATTCGCAAATGGCCGCGCAGGTCTGTCTCTGCTTTCTGTGATATTGAATAGTCCTACTTTTTTAAAATTCTTTTTTCGTATTCGAAATCCAATTTTTTGGCGAGAGCGGCCATGCTGGAGCAGTAGATGGGGCTTATTTTCCATCATTTTAATTTTTTTGCATTCATGGAGCCTTATTCATGAGCGTCAAGTGTCCTTAGAAATCTCACCCAAGTGTGTATCTGTAACGCGGCCGCACGCGTCTGTTCTCGTTAGCCCTGTTCCATCTCTGTTGTAAAAGTGAAGCGGATAAGTCGCTCGTTTAGATGTATGACAACGGCTTTCGCAATATCCATAGCATTGACACAGATTCGGCTGTAATAGAGAAGCAGCGCCTCAGAAATCGTGAGCGTTCAGAGCTCGTTTTCTCGAAGGATGACGCAACTTCGGTATGTTGTGGTGTTCAGCAAGGCCTGCATGTTCAATATCGAATCAACTATTTCGTTCAGATGTCATTTGGTGATGAAGATTTCTCTGTAGTGGTCGATAAAGGAACGTTGGACGCTTTGCTTCCTCCAGAAGCAACGGAGCACCAATTAGATTGTGTTCATAAGATGTTCTCTGAAGTCCAGCGAGTACTCAAAGTAGGTTAGTTACAGCATCTCAATCATTTCTTCTGACTGTACCTCTTTTCATAATCTGCTGAAGCAAAAGCAGTCCAGAACAATTTTAGTCTTGCTGTGCAAGAATGAGCGGCAGTAACTTCTTTAGCAATCCTTCTAGCCTTTTCTGGTGTCACATTGAATTTCATTCCACTAACCTGTTTGTATGGCGGGTCTCCTGTCTCACCAATTTTGCGACAACGAGAATGTGAAACCTATGCACCATCGGTGGTTGACTAACTTTTATATTTTGCAGCTGGCCGTTATTTGATCATCACTCTTGCACAACATCATATCGTCAAGTGTTTTATGGAGCACTTCTTGAGCACGTTAGTTCTTTCACGTTCATTTCTCTTACAACTGTGCGAGTCAGGAGGTGGAACCACCGTCGTGGGCACCTTTTGGCCCACCTCTGATGTCTGTGGAATAGGCGGCAAAAAATTGCCGGAGGTTCCCGAGCGGTGTGCTACTTATTCCTTTGTTGGTGGGCGCCACGCATTTTTCTTCCTTTAGAAAGGCTAGTGGATTTAGTGTATAACATCACCATGAGATGAAAAAGGAGATTCGAATAGTTAAATTACCACCAAGGCAACTACCAAGGGCCGGAACTCGTTCTTCTCTTTGTGACTTTCGTAAAGCCGAAATGAAAATTGAAGTAAAAGACCACTTGGACACTTTAAAGAGTTGATGTCTGAAATGGACAAAAAGCCGCTCGAGTGTATTAGTTTGGACGTCTCAGTAGGACAGGAAACCTCCTCATAAAGCTTAAATTCCAAAGAGTGATTTTTGTGTTCGTAGTCTTCTAAAAACTGCTACCCTACCCTATGTATTCAACCTTTGGACCAAGTGTATGAAATACGGATGGCGTCACTACCCACTACACCACCTCAGGCCTTATCTAATGTTTTTTCCCAGCTTCTTGAGAAATGCGCCCATAAGAAAGGCGCAGCGTCAGCGGCGAAGCGAAATGAATCAGAGATTATCAAAAATTATCAACTGGCTTCGCTTTTAAGTTCTTCAGAGCAGAGACTCAGTTTTATTTCAGGCGCCAATTTCTGCTACGGGTACATGAAATAGAGAATAGTGCTTCGGGTTTTCCTATGCCTGTCTTTATACTTGTAGCTACCAAGCTTCGTAATGTGATGACCATGTCAATGGTAAGTTTCTAATCTGACAATTTATTTTTTTGTCCATCAACTTTTTTGGATTCTGTCTGAGAAAATCTTAATTGTTGAAATTCATCGGCAAAGACTTCTTCTCATAGGGTCCTCAAAACGGTTTTCTTCTCTGAGAATCCTAGAAGAGTTCTTCTTCTCGTGGGAAATCTTTCATGTATTATCTGTCAAGTTTTTGTAGGACACTATAATTTGCTTTGTTCAGGACTTATTTTGTGCTTGAGAACAGATGCTTTGTCTGGGCGCCTTCTTTTGCCAGCATTTCTTCTTTTGAACATCATTTTCCTAAACTTTTCTCGAAAGATGTGAACATCGAACACAGCATAGCTACTTCCAGCCTGTCGAGTTATGCCGCGCTGGAAGCAACCGTTTTGAGAAATTGGTTCACTTGGATGACGTGCTCGCAGTTATAGCTTCAGAGCAAGAACTAAACCAATTTGTTCACATGTGTTCAAGGTATTGTCTTTGCAAGTGTTACAGATCATATTAGAGATAGTTCTCGATACTTGGTCAATTTGTTCTTTCGAATCTCGGAGCTATGAGGGAGCAATAGGATAGAATTTCTTGGATGTTTACTATGTTCGAAGTAGGTAGCTAAAAATTCTTATCTTGTTTCATGGTTATAGCCTTCCTCACGCCATTAGATTTCATCAGCGATGCCAAAATTGGCCGAAATAGGTTCTTTAGCCACATCTTTACTCGGTGATAAGCAGCCGTAACTAGGTACTTACTTTGCGTTAGGAGTAAGCGAGCTGGCACGACTACAAATGATAAAGTTTTTAGGCAGAGAAGGTGAATATTAGAGAACTGATATACAATATCAATGAGAGGCAACTTTGGCGACAATGCTTAGGCGGAGGATAACACTTGACTGCAAACGCTGCCTATTTTGGAAGGTATAGTTGGCAATAGGACTGCGGCTGGGTCCGCAAGCACCGAGGTGATCCCACGCTTGTAACTCGGAACCGTGGGGTCATAAAGCCCACACTCAACTAGCTAGGACTATGGCCGCCTGACCCAGGTTAGGACTGCTCACCACGGGAGGTAATACATGGGTGGCATAAAATCAGCTTTCAGTCAGCTGAATAGGGCGCGCTAATTGCTACAGGGACTGCCGGCACTGGAGCCATCAGCGGCTGGCATGTCCGGAAAACTCGTTCCGTCCTTCCCGAGCCAGCCTACTTCACTGGCTTTAGGAACGGGTTTTTATTTAGGCCATGTCGACATCTCCATACATTATGAATAATTTCAGCTAGATTCTATCCGCTTGTCCCATGCCTCATCCACCGATAGACCTTCCCTCCTTCGTTAACATTGTTCGCCTTTTCCCGTACTCCGGACTGCCTCTGGACCGATTTATAATCTTGTGGTATACTCCTCCTATTTCGCTGCATTTCTTCCTCACTTTTCTCTTTTTCGCCAACCTCTCTCCACTTTTTTCCCGGATTTTCAACTGTCTCTGAGATGATTTAATTGTTTTGTGGCAAACCCCGCTTTTAGATGCATGCTCCGCTCACTATCAGAAATTTCCTCCCTTGCTCTCACTTTTTCCCCGATCTCTAGACATCCTGGAACCGAGTTGAAATACTGGCAACAGAACTTCCGCCCACTTTGCTGCATGCAACAGCAGTTGGCCTCCTTTCCTTCGCCGACCTCTACCCCCTTTTTCCCAGCCTCTGGGACTTCTTGGAACCGAGTTATGAATTTTGTGGCAAACTCCGCCCACTTTGGTGCATGCCCCGCCCACAATAACGGTTGACTCCCTTGTGACCTCTACCCTCTTCTTGCCCGACCTCCGAGTCTTGTTGAAAGTTTGGCTCTTGTTATAAGTTTGGCGATAAACTGCCCAGTTCGGTGCGCGCTTGCCTACCAATAGCATTTGGCCTCCTTTCCTTCGCCAACCTCTATCCTTTTTTCCCAGCCTCCTGGACTTCTTGGAACCGAGTTATGAATTTTCGTCGCAAACTCCGCCCACTTTGGTCATGCCCGCCCACCATTGACATTTGGCCTCCACTCCTCTCCCACCTCTATCCACCTTTTTCCCGCTCTCCAGACTTCGGAACCGAATTATGAGGACTTGTAGAAACGCTGTACACTTCAGAGCGCGCTCCGCCCACGTCATGTATGCTGGAAACACCTTAGACATTGCTCCCTACACCAATTTTTTCTGCTCTGTAGGCTTTCTCCCAACCGAGTTATGAAATTTTTCATAAAAACTGCTTTTTTAGAGAACGCCCCGCCCACCGAGGGTGGGTCTCCCTAATTCGATCTGGCTTACCAATGCACACCTTTACCCACTTTTTGGCCCAGTTTCGAGGCTGTTTTGTGACTGAATTTGAAATCTTGGTCTCAGTACAACTTCATTTCGATGCACGCCACGCCCACTGTGGGCGGGGCTCCGCTTAGCTGATGTGTGTTTTGTACTTCGTGAGACCTTGCCCACCCCACACTTGACCCGGTCTCTCCAGGCGGATCCAAGGAGCTAGGGAATTTCGTGACAGACAGTACGACAGAAGAAGCGCCCTATAGTAAGTGGGATTATAGGATTTGTTGGGATTATTTACAAACATTGCACCCATTTAAACTCTGAACTCTCTAATACTTCCAACCAGCATTCCCGATTGCTGGAGCAAGGCGTGTTTTGCTGATCTACTCTATGATATGTACTATTCTAGAAAATTGGACCATGAGGCTTCCATCACCATTGAAAGCCAGTTTGAAAGCGGACCTCGCTATTGTTTCCACATTGTTGATGACGTCAATGTCAAGACATTCCGCAGCTACGCCGTATTTGTTGTTCCTCTAGGGCGGTACGTTATTTCTTCATCTGAAACTGCCTGCGTTTTGAAGCTGAAATGTATAATAGTCTGGATAACTTTCATACTTTACGTTTCCCATAAAAAGCCATAGTTGGATTTCTCATGGTTGGACGAATATAAGCTTCTCGCATCTATCTTGAAGTCCATGGCATCTAGGGTCCTAGTAACGCGTTCGATGTAGAAAGGTGACGTTGCTTTTGCATTTACGTACCCAGCACTTTTAGCCATGGTAAGGGCTTTTTAGGTAAGTCTGAGCCCGAACTTTGCTTCTGAGAGTCTAAATGGTGCAATGTTTGTAAATAATCCCAACAAATCCTATAATCCTACTTACTATAATGCGCTTCGTCTGTCGTACTGTCTGTCATGGAATTCTATAGCTCCTTGGCTTCGCCTGGAGATACTAG